ATTGCACGTCAGTGATGTGCGTATTATGGACAAGATATATTTCCCTGTATTACGTAGCCTGAAATTAGTAGTTCGTATAATACATGAGTGCGGATTATACATGAATAATTACTATATTAACTCTGTTTGTGTCTTTTATAAAAAGTAAAAAATATAACTCTATCAGGCCTAAATTCTGAATAAGCTGCTATTTGAGGAACGATTTTAAGAGGCTCTATATAACAAAAGATGATGTAACGTCATTCAATTGACGAATTGTCTATAAAGATAACAGACTGTTGATGTTTTTGGTTGGGCAAGTAATGTAGTCTCATTTCGTGGCTGAGATTAAGGTGCACCCAGTGAGGATCTAACTCACTACTCAATCATAATTGATCTAACGAGATAAGCTTGTTAGTCATTACACAACATAGAAGTGCCCTATGGTGATTTTCTAATCCCAGTTTAAATGTGGCACAAGGCCGAATGTATGGGGCACCTAGTACGAATCGAACTCACTAACCTCTCGTAATTGATCTAGCACGACAAGCTTGGTAACCATTACACCACATCGACGTGCCCAAGTATATAAGGAATATGAATTTATATTATTTAGACTATATAGGAAATATGAATTATATGTGATTATTATATGAATATGTTAAAAATGGTGAGGAATATGAATTTCAAAATTGTGGTTTGAATAGATTTGAAATGAAATTTGAGGCAAGTAATGAAAATGAAGTACAAAAAGGAAAAATAAATAAGTAATAATAATGACAATAACAAATTAGATTAAATTATTTCAAAAATCGAATAAAATATCTGCTTTTAAAATAGCGTTATTGAAAAAATGATTCATGAAAAAAATGTCCAAAATGCTGTTAAATATAGAGCAAAATTTAAAATAATAGAGACATCACTGTCAAAACTAGTTAAATCATAGTTAAGAAGTGAATATAAGCAACTTTAACAAGTTTTCGAAATTCGTTCGTTGATTCGTTTTAAATCTGATATTATATGTTGTTGCAACAAGCTGCAAGAGTCGACCGTTTGTCATGAAACCTGGCTGAGTAAGGCTTACTTAAAACCATTGTCGTCCAATCAAGATATATATTTTTGACTGTTAGTAAACATTATACTACTTAAATAAGAGACAATGCTATTGGCATGAAAAAAGAAAAAGTTTTATAAATTCATGATTACATATTGATCAGTGTAGAATGGACAAATTAACAATCAATGTTTAATTGATCTAGAACCGAATTATCATAACCTTCTCTCACAAAGCGAAACTATGCCAAAAGGTTTCACTTGACAACCTTGGAAAATCTCGGAAACCATCAAATAAAACATACGCAATTAAGACCTTCAATCATTGGGTAACTGGGGCAATAAATGGCTTTCTGTCTACCATCACCATGGCTGAGGAGAATACTCTCCGCCTTCTTGGGTTTTATGTTTTCCAGTGACGTGAAGTGGAACGACTATGTATATCCAATCAATTATTATGTCTACTGCTAGAAAAATTGTTTCACTGTGACAGAAAATCTTTCTCGATAGAATCTATCTTGCCCATTTATAAATGCACCATTCTTCCTTGAATTGAATACTGCTGCCATATCTGATCTTGTGCTCCTGTTGTATGTCTTGAGATTCTTAACGAAATCCAAATAATGGACTGTAATGAGGTCGATCCTGACCTGGCATATCGATTTGAGTCACTTTATGAGTGACCTGACATGGGTCCGCTCTGTCTTTTCTACAAATATTTTCCTGTTAATTGTTTCGATAAGCTTTATTTAACTAGCATCCGGACGACATGAATTTAAGCGTGCTACTTGATTGGAAACTAGGTCTCACCGTTTTCCTGTTGAACTAGAAAGATGCATGCACCTTTTCTATTCTAATAGTTTCTTTTCTCGCACTTCCCATTTGTAGAGCTCCCTTCCGATTTCTTGATTCCTTGCTAACTACAATCGCCAAAAATTTAAATGCAATGTCAATTGCCATCTTCTGTTTTCCTGAACCCTGTTCCTTTATTGTCCTTTTTAATTCTCTTCACTTCAAGTCTTTTAATTTTCCATCACTTCTTGTAATTACCTGCATCATAGTAGCATAACCGCCAGGCTTGGAGTAAAACGGCAAAAAAAGCAATACCAGTTACAAAAGAATAGAGTCAAACTAGCAACCAATATCCCTCCTCCGCAAGACTTTGGATGCTACAAAACGAAAACGTTAACTTAAGAACTCAAATCATGTTCTGAAATATCCTCACCAGATCTGTATTTTCATATTAATGGAAGCCTAGTTTGGAACTCGTACACAAATGCCTAAATTATCATTATCAATTATAATTGTTTTCTCAGTTCAATGATTACAAATGGCTTCAAACTGTTATATAGGAATAAAAAATTGTTGTTGCCGTTACTTGAGTGAGTAAACACAGGCGATCCCATTATTGAATTAAGTGGATCACGTGACCATAGAGGAAACACGTAGGTAGAAAGTCGCATCACGTCTAGATTGATCTCCGTTTCTAGTCTATCGTTTATTCGTATCGCTATTTCTCCTCTATCCTCTATTACTATTCACATCGCTATCCTCAACTCTATTCCCTATACTATTTCTCTATTCAGATCACTATACGGATTATTATTCGAGCGAGCATTATCGAGCGAGTACTATTAGTGCGAGTGATATTCGAAGGCATCTGACACCAGTATTGTTCAACGGCGTTACTATAGTTGTATCTGCGATTGCAAAGTCTCTACTACAACGAGTATTACGAAAGTGGCAGCGAGTATTCGTTGACATCACAATAGTGGCAATAAGTGTTCGTTGACATCTTAAAACAAACGAATAAATTATTTAAATCTTTAGGAAGACAGTACTTCATTAGAACCTATCGAGTAACACGCTATATTTATAAATGATGGATTTTATCAAATAATAAAGCCTCACCATTTGAACATTTCCAACCGTAGCAATAACAAAAATGGGTGGCACATATAATTAGAAGAGAAAATATTGATATAATCAAGATGTTAGCTTTCCAAACTACCAAAAAGAAAAAGTTAGGAAGGAAACTCCCATCCATACGAGAAAAAGCATTAACAACAAAATGTGTAGCACTTATAATTAGAAATGAAAATAATGATGTAATCGAGATATTAATATTTCACACTTCAAAAAAAAAAAAAAAAAAAAAAAAAAAGAAAATGTTTGAATGGAAACTCACATCAAAGAGATATAACAGCGGACTTGAGAAGTCTACTTTCCTGATAAACATTTTCAATAAAAAAGATGTTATAAATTTCAAACAGTAACAATAACTGTTCTGTCACTGAACGCCGAATGTTTCTTATCTAATCAATATTAACAAATTGAGTATAGAAGATTGGAAAATTGAACATCGAAGAGGCAACGGTAGGGTTAGTTGTGACCAACATCGCAAATTGTTATAGAACAAAAAAAAAAAAATCAATCTGAAGATTCGAATCATGTTCTTAAACAGCCTTGTCAGATCAAGACTTTCATATGGATGTTATGTATTTCGTTCAGAAATATCTAAACTGTCAGATGTACTCTACCAGTTTCTCAAAACCTTGCGGACTGGCGTAACAGAATAAAAAAAAATATCTGTAACAAATAACGGAAACGACATCACTCGAGGACACTCAACAACAACAACAACTAAAATGGATAGCACGTTTAACTTAAAGATGTTGACTTTCTAAATTGTTTCAAGCAAAAGGTTGGGAAAGAAACCTCCACAAATATTGTAATGACCGATAAAAGAAACCTATTTTCCAGAAAATAGAAAAAATTATAAATTTCACCTGAGAGTAACATTCGTTGTTCGATCAATGAATGTCGAATGTTTCCTTATAAGGAAACAGCCAATAATTTGGAAAATGCTAATAATTTACCATTATCATTCTCCTAGTCAATTAATTCTTGTTACAACAACAAAAAGAAATAATTAACGTTTTTTTTTTTTTTTTTTGTAAACATAGCGACGAGATTTTCACAATTATAGAATTATCTTTAGAGCTACAAAAATATGTATGGAAATATTTGATCAAGATCAAGTAATTTGATTTAACCTCTGATGTTTATCTCAATGCAGGTAGAAATAATTTTGCAAAACAGGAGATTAATAATGGGAAGAATCCGTTCATGAACTCAACCAAAATAATGTCCGGTTGATATTTGTTCTCTGTATTATTTTTTTAATGTGTCAAACTATGAAAAATGGGACGTACATTTTTTTTTTTGCTTAAATGACACGCATCTATGCGCTTTTGTATTGAAGTGATTTTTATCAACGTTGAATTACTTAAGATAAATGATTCCATTTTCAACTTATTTTTTTTTCGCAGAAGAAACGTTTACTCGTTTTTTCCTTGTTACTTATTTATCAACGACAAATTGTTTTTCATCGTTTGTTAATTTAATTTTTTTTATTCTTGACTTTTAGTATGTAATGTTTACGAAGTCATGTTTCCGTCAACCTTTCACATTCTAAATATTTTTGTGGTAACAAATTTGATCGAAATTATTTTTGCGCATGCGTATGCGCATGTGTGTTTGTGTTTCGTCTTTTTCTTTTATAATGGGGAAAACAAAACAAACATTTTTGTCTTCGTCTTTCAGCGCATTAGTTACACGAAGTGCGAGCCAATATGAGACAATCAGTTATCGTCGGAAGACGTTATTACTTCTGGGGACGGAGGAAGTAGAGAGAAAATGGAGGGAAAAGAAGCAGTGAACGAAAGGATAGATAGAGGGATAGAAAAATGGACAGGTAGAAAGAAGATAAAGAAATAAATAATACAGAAAAAAATAGGGAACGAATGAAAGACGGAATGATGCAAAGAATGAAAATACTAAAGAGAAAAAAAAGACATTTGGAAAGATATACAATTTGACAGGCGAAAGAAAAGAAAACAAAAAGATAAAAAAGATGAAAATAGGAAAGAGATAATGAAAAAAAAATAAGAATCAAAAGTAAAAGATTAAGAAACAAGATAGATAGATAGATAGATAGATAGAGAGAGAGAGAGAGAGAGAGAGGAGAGAGAGAGCAAAAGGAAAATAGTGAGAAACAGAGAAAGATATGAAGAAAGAAGTAAAAGAAAGGGGAGAAGGAAAGAAAGAACGAACGGTCGAATGAAGAAAGGAAGAAAGAAAGAAGAAAAGAAAAAAAAAAAGAAAGAAAAAATGAGAGAAAGTGAATGTAAGAAGGGGAGAGTAAAAGAAAGAGTGAAAATAGATAAAAATGAGAAATAATTAGAGAAAGAAAACAGGAGAAAAAGATGAAAACAAAGAAAGTATGAAAGAAAAATAAACTAGCAAAAAGAGTGTGCAAATGAAGAAACTGTAGAAAGAAAGAAAACCATAAGGAAGGAGAAAAGAAATAAAGAAAAAAAGATAGAAAGACATAAAGAAAGAAAGGAAGAAAGAAAGAAAAGGGAAAAAGACATAAAGAAAGGAAAAATAAATAAATAAATAAATAAAGAAAGAAAGAAAGAAAGAAAGAAAGAAAGAACGGAAGAAAGAAAGAAAGGGGAAAAAGACATAAAGAAAGGAATGGAAGATAGAAAGACATAAAGAAAGAAAGAATAAGCTAAAAGAAAACAAAATGAAAGTGAAAACAGTGAAGCAAAAAAGCAAGCACAAAGAAAAGAAGAGAAGAGAAAGAAGAAGAAAACAGAAAAAAAGAACAGGTAATGGTAACGTAAATTTAAAAGGAAGAAAGAAATTAATAAAAAGAATGAGGAAAAATAAAGAAAAAGAAAGTGAGAAAAAAAAACAAAAGGGAGAAAGCAGGAAATATAAATAAATAAAAAATGGATAATTGCAAAAAAAAAAAAAAAAAAAGGAAAGATAGAGAGATTATAAAGAAAAACACGAAAAGAGAACGTGAAGGAAAAAAGAGACTACAAAAGAAAATATCAAGAATGGGGCTTGAAAAGCAGCAAAGAAAGAACGAAAAAAAGAATAGATAAAGGAAAAGAATAAAAATGAAGGAGGTTAAAATTGAAAAAAAAGAGGAAAGTAAGAAGAATTGAAAGGGAAAGAGAAATAACAGTTAAAAAATGGTAAAAAAAAAGAAAAGTAAGGGAGAAAGAAAAGAAAAGAAAAGAAAAGAAAAGATGCAGGAAAGAAAGGAAAAGAGAAACAAAAAAAAGAAGAATAGGAAGGATGGAAGGAGGAAGCAAAATTGAAAAGGGTGAAATCAGGAAGGAATGAAAAAGAAAAGGAAAAAAAGATAAAAGCTGAAAAGAAAAAAAGAAAAAAGCACAAAAGAAAGAAAGAATAAAATACGAGGAAAGTAAAAAGAAGAAAAACAGGAAGGAAAGAAAGACAGGGAGAGAGAAAAAACATAAAGAATGATAGGAAAGAAAGCCAAGAAAAAAGGAAGAGAGAAAAAGAAAAGCGAAGAATGAACAGAAAATACAAAAATGAAAGAAAGAAAGAAAGAAAGAAGGAGAGAGGGAAAGAAATAAAAAGAAAAGAAATGACAATAAAAATTAAACAATGAAAAGAATGAAAGAAAGAAAGACAAGAGTGAAGGTAACTGGAAAGATGGAAGTAGAAAAAGAAAGAAGGAAAGAAAGAAACGGATGTAGTGGATGTCCGTAATACAGACATGAACTTGACAGGGAGAAAGGGGCTGCGTTTCGACGTCATCGCTGATGTCATGTCGCGTGAGAACGGACAATGCGCGAAATTAATGAAGGTGCATGGGCGAAGTGACATCTGTCGGCGAAATGGGTAATCAGCCAATAACTTGCTGAGAGCATGTCACTGAATTTAATGATCGTCACCTCCGTCTCGCAATCACTCCCTCTTCCTCCATTCAACCTCCCTACCCCCCCTCCTCCGCCTTCTCTGAATTGTCTCTGCAGTATTCCAAAATGTCCTCCTACTTTTTCTCCAGCCTCTTACCCTCACTCTTGTTTCTTTGTTCAAGGCTCCACTCATGGAACATCCCTTTTCAAGATTTGCTTTAACTTCATGGCTTGGGCTTTGTCTAAATGGGCGAACCTAATTGTCGCCCAGCAATGTCTGAAAACTCTTATAGTCACTCATACTGGATGAACAAAGCTTCCAAATCTTAATTTTAGACTCTAAAACCTCATAAATAATCTGTCGGCCAGTAATAAGAAAAAACTGTCGGGCAGTAATAAGAAAAAACTGTCGGGCAGTAATTAGTAACGATTTGTTGAGAAGTGAATAGTGAAAGCAATTTTTCGGACTCAAAGATCATTTAGGTATGCTGTAAAAGTCGATCAGTTATTTTCGGACTTTATCGAGTCGTAATTAGCTAAAACGGTTTAAACCTGTTCTGTCAACACAATGTACACTTTAAAAATGACTAGATTTAAATAATTCCGATGAATATTATGGTTTAGCAGTTTCTGACTTATAAGTAAGATAATCTGACAAGCAATTTAGAACTTTTTTTAAAGTAAGGTTCACTCCGCACAAAGCCTGGGGGCCACTCGAGGTAGAGGGTTACGTTAAGAGGTGATTTATATGGCTAAGAGAGGAAGATAACGGTTAACTAGAGTTGAACAGGTTCAGATTGTACTGATAGAGGAGATATCCTCTTGGGAGTCGGTTCCACAGGGCAGTGGCTCGCGGGAAGTGGGGGAGGATTATCAGTAAGAGTAAGGAAAATTCAACAAAAGATGCTGAGCCCAGTTAAAGAATGGTCTTCATAATTTGTTTTTTTTATTTTTGTAGTTTCTGTTTTTCCTATTCTCATTTTTTGTCTGTCAGGAGTGGTGGCAGATCAATAGACAACCATCTTTCTAATATTCATCAGTCACTAAAAATAACAAACCCAGCTCTCTGCCAGGACAGAGAAGCAATAATATATATCCTATATAGCAGCGAATGCTGGGAAATCTCGAAGAGACATGAAGCAAAAGAAATGTGGTTCTACAGAAGGATGTTGAGGATACCATGTGTTCAACGACGAAGTTTTAGAGATAATTGAAACAAAAAGAAATTAAAAGAAATACTTAACACCAGGAAAAAAAGCAGTTGAATTTTCTAGGGCAATGTGGCTTGGAAAATTTGATACTCTCAAGTCAGATTGAAGAAAAGAGGGACAAAGCCAAATAATGCATAATATAATTGATGAGCTTGAGTAAATGGATGGCGGGACAGGCTTTAGGAGAAATAGCAAAAAGAGAAAATTTATTAAGAGCTACAAGGGACAGGAAGTTTTGGAGGGCCATGTTCGCTTAAGGGGACATAACATATAAAGAAGAAGTCGGACAAAAAGCCTTGTTTGGGGTTACGAAATTATCGTATTTATGTAAAGTGGTTTTACTTTGGCGCAACCCGCGGCTTAATTCGAAGAAAGTTTCGCTATTTTGAAATTAGAATCATCAAGTAGACAAACCGTGCCTAATAAAGAAGAAAACAAATTTAAGTTGATAGGTCTGGAAAATATGTCACACATAGAACTTACCTTTCGAATTCCCTGGATATTTGCTGCGTCGTATTTGTAAAAGGTGTTCTCATAACTGGTCGATTTCCTTTTCTTTTCCAAATGCGTCATCTAAATAAGCCAGTTGATTGCTTTAGTTTAATGTACCTCTTACATCAGCACGCAAATTGGATTGTTTTTTTTGTTTTTTTTGTGACAGTCATGTATTTAGTTTTCTTACAGTTAACAGTCTTTTCTTCTTGCTTCTTTTACTACCTTGTCTAAGAGATTTTTCAGTTAATACACACACACACACACGCACACACACACATTAAATAAATCCATAAATGTTTAATGGGTTTATCCCATTGACCGTTATCTGACATTGACTTATCGAATATCTGACCCTGTCAAGCGTTTTGACGGGATACTCTAGAGTCAATACGATAAGTCCCTTGAAAATTTATTGATTTATTGAATATTATAGACCCAGTTTACTATTGAACAATTTTAGGTAGAAGCACGTAATTTAATTAATAATATAATTCAGTAAGGGGTACAGAACTGGTACATGAACACAGTTTTATATATATATATATATATATATATATATATATATATATTATGTTAAATAAATTTATCTTATGTAAACATCGAGTTATTGTTTTAGTAAAAAAAATATTTTACTCGGGGCTCCTTATTCACCCCCGCCCCCACTTTCACTTTTTTGATATATTTGGGTTTTTGTTTCAACAAATCTTTCCAAAGAAATGTTGGACGAGAAAGGTTCCTTTTAAAGACTGCGCTCTGTCATTTTTAAAACAATATATAAATTCTGTGATATAGTTTTTTTGTTCATATATATATATATATATATATATATATATATATATAGTATTATTTGAAAATATGTATTCATCGCGAGACAGAAATTACCATGTTTCGGAACTAAAAACTAAATTTTAGATTTAAGTTAAACATCAAGCGATGTTGAATAACTTACGAAAACGTTATTCAACATCCCTTGGAAATGGAAGAAAAACTGTAATTTTAACTTTAATTTAAGTTTTAGTTTTTAGTTCCGAAGTATGGTAATTTCTCTGTCACGATGAATACATATTTTTAAATAATAATATTATTGTTGTATAGGAGTAAAGTCTCGCTGCCGACACTGTAGTTGGAACATAGATCACCAATGAGCAAACACAGCGGATTCCATTTTGAACAAGTGGATCACATGATGTCAAATGAAATGTATATATGGGAATTAGCGTGGCGTCTAATCGATCACTATTTCTACTCTATCCTCTATTACTATACAGATCGCTATTTTCTAAACTATTCATTATACTATTCTCTATAATGATCACTACAAGGATTACTATTCGGTAGTTACTTTTCGAGCGAGTATTATCGAACAAGTACGAGGGCGAGTGTCAATCGAAGGCGTCTGACACCAGTATTGTTCAACGGCGTACTATAGTTGTATCGGCGACTACAAGTCTCTGCTACAACGAGTATAACAAAAGTGGCAACGAGTTTTCGTTGGCATCACAAAAGTGGCAACGAGTGTTCGTTGCCATCACGAAAATTATAATATTATGCTCTACTGTGTATCGAGCACTGGTTTTTAAAAATAAATGCTAAAGAACTGTAGAGTATAAATCTGACTGTTCTATATATATATATATATATATATATATATATATATATATATATATATATATATATAATTATCAAGTAATCTAAAAAATAAGGAAAATATTTGAAAAAATTTTATATTTTGCGAACTTTGGCTTTATAAAGTTGCGTAAACAATTGTTGAGAGAATGTTAGAAAATTACAAAAGAAAATTTAATTTAATATCGGTATTGCTTTTTCTGTTAATGTCGCGTCTGGATATTCGTATTTACAAACATCGAAGTTTATACTGACACATGCACAAATTTAAAATACTGGTTGCGTCGAATTGTGGTGAGCTTTTACACTTATAGTTATTAAATACAGTTTTAAATTAATAATATTACTTGGTCGCTACAAATTAATACAGAATTTTCAAAGTTTGAAAAGTTTGTAAATTATTCTAATTAATATGTAAAAAAAAAATGAAAACGATTGTCATAAAAATTCATTATAAAGCGAAAAAATGTCTTAAGACAATTGTGTCCATAATATATTTTATTCATGAAAGCAATTAAAAGCTTTTTTTCGATAAATGATGTCTTAGTTTTATAGCATTTTTTATTTTACGATTCATGGCAGATTTTCTCGAACCGGGGGTCCTGTATGATGAAAAAATTGATTTAAACTCTCCGAGGAATTGTCATTGCAACGAATATAAATATTTTGCAATACAAAAAAGAATTTCTTCAAATGTCATGAAAATTAAATGAGGATAGGTTGGTGGCGGTGGTGGTGTTGTTGGAGTAAGAAATGAAAACATATTTTAAAAAGATTTTCTAAAAGAGAAACAATAGAAATATAATTTAATTCAATTCTGAATAAGTTCTGACAGTTTCATTAAAATCTGACAATTATCTGAATTTTAAAAGAATGTCCAAATCAATGTTTTTCTCCGTGAAAAAAAGAGAGAAGAAAACACCTCACATTTCCTGTGCAAATTTAATGTCTCGCTTTGACGCAAAAAATGAATTTGTAATCAAATTTTACAGAGTTCTTAAAAAATTAAAAACAATTTTTACATAAAATATTATTATATCTTTCCACTTAATAAAGCGACAATTTTAATTTTAATAATTCATTTTTTGTTATGTTTGACCATTCTTTTCATCATGCATGTTTTTTTTGGGAATCAATAGCTCCAAAAATTCCCCCAAACTAATAACATGTTATGGTACTAAAGCTATTAAATAATTTAATAGCTTTAGTACCATAACATGTTATTACACAAATTTAGGTGAAATAATAATAATAATAATAATAATAATAATAATTATTGTATGTTGTTTGCTGCTTTGTATCCTGCAGAGCCGTGTACAAACTATGGTCCTTAGGCCCTATAGAAGAATTTTCATTTAATTGATATGGGATGTTCCTAGTAGGGCAACTTTCTCGGCAACCTGTATGTTGATGTTACCTGGGACACTGTTAGTAAAACTGTCCATTCCTTTTCTCAGGAGGCCCAGAGGCCCAGTTACTATTGGTACAGTCTCAGCATTCATTCCTCACATCATGTTAATCTCGATTTCCAGGTCCTTGTATTTGGACAATTTCTCGATAGTTTTCAGGGAGGTGTTTCTCTCAGATGATACAGCTATGTCAATAAGCATACACTTCCTGAATTTCTCATCTTTTA